TGGTTTTGGTGCTCTTGAGAGGCTGGTCAGGAGATTTAGCTGGAGAGCCCTAGTAAGATGAGATTTGCACATGAGAGAGATTAAAATTTAGCTAAAGGTTAGGGGGCCATGAGAAGATGCGTGGTGGTGGAAACTGGAAACAACAGATTTTCCAGGGGAGGGCGTAGACTAGGATGAAGGGAGGGCTGAGGATGCAACCTTGGGGATCACTGACGTTTGCTGCGAGGAAGAGGAACAGGTGGAGATGGAGAGGAAGTGGACGTAAAGGTGAAGAGAGAACTATGTCGTGGAACTCAGAAGGGGAGTATTTTAGGAAGGAAGCCAAGACCGTCATGGGTCACATGAAAGATCAGTAGGATGTGCAGCAAGAAGAAGCCGTTGGATTGAGCAACTGGGAGACCCCGTGGTTCCAGTCAAGTGGTGGTGGGGGGAGTAGTCAGATTGCAGAGAGCAATGGGGCGTGGATGCCAGGCAGGAGCAGGCCACCTCACAGACTGCCATTTCAAGATGCAAGTGCAATTCAGTCTGCCTTGAAGGCTCTGCCGTTCAGTTTTAAATGTGCAATGCTTGTATTTTACAGTAGATAGAGTGCAACTTGCTTTGACCTCTGTGTTTTTAAAACTTTGTGACTCTCTGTCCCTGTTTGTGTTCCTAGGAATTCATTTCCTTGGGTTGTCTAAAGGCTTTACAGGCTCTCAGATCATTATTCTTGCTGTCTTCCGTCCTGCCACCAGCCTCCTCCCAACCTTCCTTCCTTCCTTGCTCTGTGTCTCTCTCTCTCTCTCTGTCTCTCTCACATACACATACACAGGCACACACATCATTTCGTTGTGTAATTACATTGAAAGTGCCCAAACTCTTCATTCATGAGTTTCTGCTTCTGATGCGTTTAATTAGCTTTCCTGGAACAGAGGAAGTGTCTTCAAATGATTTCTATTTATTGCAGGAACAATAACAATTTATGCTAATCTTATGTCCCCTAGGAAGACCTGAGAGGTCTGTCTTTGGAAAGCTTAGAGAAGGTTAATGCATGTTATTTGGCTAAATGAGGAAGTGAGGTAGATTTGCACACTTGGGGAGGATGGCAGCTCACCCAAAGGCAGGGTCAGACCCTCCATTGCTATTACCTTCCATGCTTGTGAGACAAGCTCTCTGCTGGCTGTGTGCATCAGCCCAGCAGAGGTTATTGCAGAGGACCTGGGAGGGGTTAGGAAACCTAAGTTTTCTTTCCTGAACCTTACTACATGAGCCTCAATATTTTCATCTGTAAAATGGAGGTAATGGTAACTTCCTGTATACTTCTTGGGGTTGCTGTAAGAATTGCATTAGTTGAGGGGCCGGCCGCATGGCTTAACGGTTAAGTGCGTGCGCTCAGCTACAGGTGGCCTAGGTTCAGATCCCGGGCGTGCACCGATGCACCACTTGTCCGGCCCTGCTGAGACGGCGTCCCACATACAGCAGCTAGAAGGATGTGCAACTATGACATACAACTATCTACTGGGGCTTTGGGGAGAAGAAGGAGGAGGATTGGCAATAGATGTTAGCTCAGGGCTGATCTTCCTCACAAAAAAAGAGAAAAAGAATTGGATTAGTTGGTATATGGCAAAGCACTTTGTAAATGTCAAGTGGTACACAACATCTGGTACCCTACAATTATTCATATAACTTCTTCCTCCTTTAGGGAGGTAATGGATGGAAAGGTTTATCAAATTTTTCCAATGTGTCCATCCCCAGGCAACGCCACTGGAGTAGAACCAGGCAGACTTTTTATTTACTTTTATTTTTTATTGTGGTAGAATATACATAACATAAAATTTACCATTTTGACCATTTTGATGAGTACAATTCAGTGGCATTAAGTACATTCACACTGTTCTGTAACCATCATCATTATCCGTCTCCAGAACTTTGTCATCTTGCCAAATGGAAACTCTCCATTCCCTTTTCTTCTAGCCCCTGGCAACCACCATTCTACTTTCTGTCTCTATGAATTTGACTAGTCTAAGTATCTCATATAAGTGGAATCATACAGCATTTGTCCTTTTGATTCTGGCATATTTCACTTAGCATAATGTCTTCAAGGTTTATCCATGCTGTAGCATATGTCAGAATTCCATTCCTTTTTATAGCTGAATAATATTGCGTTATACGTCTTTACCACATTTTGTTTACCCATGCATCCATCAATGGATATTTGGGTTGTTTACACCTTTTGGCTATTGTGAATAATGCTACCATGAACGTGGATGTACGAATATCTGTTCGAGTCCCTGCTTTTGATTCTTTTGGGTGTATACTCGGAAGTGGAATTGCAGGCTGACTTTGAGTCTGAGATGATGGGACTATAAACTTGTCTTGTGACTCTGCTCAGTAACTGTTGATAGAAACCCCTGGAGTCAGGAGGGGGGCACCCTTGGCCACCTGGGGCCTGCCCTGCACCCTTTCACAGGTGCCTCATTGTCAAGCCCCTAGCTGCTTAGCCCATGAAGCCCATTATGTATCTGTGCCCCATTGTCCTGCCTATACCACAGGGTCCCAGGTAGTCTGTCCCTCTCGAAGTCAGGAACAAAGGCAGAGAAGCCCTTGATCCAGGAGCTGCACCATCGCACCTTGGCTTCAGCCTCTTGCAGCAGCTCACCAGCAATGGCTCTGAAGGCGACCTCTAGTCCCCTCCCTATTCTATCGTGGGTCAAGGGGTTGATTCATGCAGAACCCACACTTCTCACTCTGTTTTCAGGGAGGGAATGATCCACAGAACAAGGAAGCATTTTTCTCTTCTGGCCTCCTGACAGCTACAGCTAAGCAGAGTACCTCCTCTGCATTGGCCATAGTCTGTTACTATCCATACAGATGGCAGCTTGGTCGCTGCTGCTAAAGGGATCCTCCAGCTTCTGGAAAATGGACGTAGTAAATCTGACAGACTCAGGAGAGAAACCACTGTGGTGTTCTCAGCATCAGGGACCCAAGTGGCAGATAGTGAAACTGAAAATGAATGAATGGAGTGCCTGGCATAAAAATACCCGTGGTGCTAGAATCTTGGTCTTTCCTTGTTGATTTTTCTTGCCGTGACATAGTTCTTATCTGCCTCCTAGAGGATGCAAAAGGGAACATGTATGTAGTGGCCCAAGGTCTTCTTCCATCTAAGAACCCTCACTGTGAGGTGAATCTGCCTTGATCTATCCCTGAGACAGAGGTGACAGGGAGGGACAGCTCCTGGGTTGGGAGATTCCCTGAAGTTGTTATAAATTGGTTTTCTTGGGTGAAAGCCATTGGCAGTGACCAAGTGTCACTGGGAATGTCTGAGTCCATGTATCACTGTGTGATAAATCTGTTGTGGGTTTTTATGTGTTTATATTTCATAATTGCTGTTCTGACTGGTTCCAGAAGGTTTCTGTCTATGTGAGGCATGTGGTACTGTGAGCAGGAGAATCTTACGTGGCCAGTAATTTGTGGATTTGGGCAGAAGATCCTTGTTCTGACATTTTCCATTTGGTTCTTTTGTGGAATGCCTACCTTCTGCCCCTCAGGTTGGTATAATTAGATACAGACCTTGAAGATAGATGGACTTGTCTCACGAGAGTTCATGTTCCAGTAGGAGCGCTGTCCTGAAGACTCACGGTTAATTGCACTAAGTGGAGTGAATTCCTCTCACTGGAAAGGATTTTGAAATATATATTTGTCTTCGTTTGGTCCATGACAGATGCATATCCCCAGCAGATGAGTAAGGAGAGGGAGAGAAAAGTATGTTCTCCTTGCTCAGGTATCTCTTTGATGTTGACTGAAGAACAAAGGCCCCGAGGCACCGGTATTGGGATGACATTGGTCCTTCTGGTGGTTTCTTTTGATGCAGTAGAGTTTGTCTCTAATTATAACTGTGAGGAAGCCATGTTTAGTGTCTCTCTGAGGAAATAAGTGTCGCTCCTGAAAGTCTAGGGACAGAGAATGACTCAGTGGGTCGTGATTTTCCTTGGGCCGCATGCACAGAGCCCAAGTTACTGAGGACTGGAGTGGATAATGGAGGAGCCTGTTTTTGTTCCAGAGTTATTAGGGAAGTTCTGCCCCCAGGCACTGCCTGCTGGCAAATAGAGGAGGTGGCTGGGGGGGGGG